TATAGCAACTTATGCTATGATGGGAGCAGGACTACATGGTGTTTATGGCATCAGCCCGTGTATCTCACTACACTTGATTCGTATATACTGTATATATATAGTTCTATGTCTGACATATGTACTTGAAACCATCCGTTTGGCGACCAAGGATTTGATTGCTATCAGTAAATACTACAAGCGGCTACTGAAACAACTTCAGCATTTACCAGACAAGACAGCTGACTCAGCCTGCTATATGCTGCTAAAATCTATCTGGAATGAACTTGTGAAACGAACTGTAAACAGTTACTTGGAACATAAACTGAAGGCGGAAGCCAAAACTAAGTCGTCACTGAAATATATAGACATTGGCCGTCTCTAAATTTGAAAGACACATCTGTAATGGAGTATCGCCGGTCACAATATCTATGCTATAACAAAAGCGGCAGTAACGTGGAGCCTACACATTACAGGGAGATAGAAATAAGTTTAATCAGTTCGAGGTTGATCCGTCTTGTCCAATGTGTAGACAATGACCCGAGGACAGAACTCACCTTCTTGTCTTATGTCAGCAATTTACTGCTGTCAGACAACCGTTTATGGATGCCATAAACAAAGTTGTAGAGGATACGTTACCAGGACAAAATAGACAGATAATATCAGAACCAAATCGATTAACGCAGAACGTATTAGATTGTTCGATTAGCCCCTTTGTGATACCTCAGTATTACAATAGACTGGAATTTATTGGTAGATGATTATGCTATGCCCTCCGTATAGCACGCAATACTGCTTTGGACATTAACTATAAGTAACTTGCATAAGATCGTGCTTCCTAGTCCTTAACATTTATCATAAGTTTGTGGTTGAGTGATTGAAACATAGTAGGAACCATCCCACTCTTAGTATATACATAGACTTTTTTTTATATTTTAAGTAAAGTGGGACAGTACATAGTATTTTATGAAGTGCCGTATATATATATTCAGCACTACAGACAATGGATGAAGCATACATATCAACGACAACTTCCCAATAAATAAATTGTCAATTTCTAGATGTAAGTCAAGATATGAGTATCCTTTATCCTTTATTTCATGTTCGATAGGATAGATGTGTTCAACATAATCACCAAACTTTGAATTATTTAGCGAGAGGTCATCATCTTTATAGCGGAAAATGAAGTTAAAGGATGATACTAGCTTCTTTTCATTCTTCCTAAGGAGCTCCTGTATGAAGTCCACCAATGTAATGTTCTAATGTATTTCGCGAAGTAACATGTAAATTGATTAATACGCTAAACTATCCGAGATCTTGGCTGCTAAACAGGATCATAAATAAGATTTTCGACTGGTACTTTGGTACTTTGCAGAGTACAATATTAACTATACTATAACATGTAGTCTTTCAAGCTGCAGCTACTGCATATTTGTACATATATTCCGGCATGATTGTTTATAATATTTTTTTCCTATGTCGGTTAAAGGTTTTTCTCCAACTTTTTATTGTTTTTATGATAAAAATGTGTATTGTTTTCAAGATTTCGGAACGCCTTACGTTTAGCACCAATTTTAAAGATGTTCAGAATTTCAGAAAGAACGATACGATACGTTGTTCGTCATTTTGCATGGGACAATTGCAACTGATAAAATGGATATATTTAATTTGTTTATTTTTTTTCATTTACTTTAATACATAAGTCAAGAGCATGTTGTTCAGTGTTTGTTGTTTGTTGGTGTGGTTCATAAGTGTTTCTCGTTTCTCGTTTTTTTATATAGATTAGACCGTTGGTTTTCCTGTTTGAATTGTTTTACACTAGTCATTTTGGGGCCCATTATAGCTTGTGGTTCGGTGTGAGCCAAGACTCCGTGTTGAAGGCTGTACTTTGACCTATAATTGTTAACTTTTTATACATTGTGACTTGGATGGAGAGTTGTCTCATTGGCACTCATACCACATCTTCTTATTTATATTGTATTCATTTTTTACTTAATGTTAGTGTCTCTTGAATTTATTAGTTGTTAATCTTTTTTCATTTAATTTTATGTCGGTATATTGTTTCGTTAATTAGTTAAATATTGAGCTTGTTGACATTGTAACTAGAGATGTATAAAAGTATATTTGGAGTATACGTCAATGAGATGCAACCGAAAAGCATAAAAAAAATCGAAGGAAGCATACGTAATTAAAAAAACAAACCAGAGTCTCTATCGTCTAAAATAGTCAAGCCCTAAATCGATCCAAGTGTTATATGTTTGAATACAGTTACCTGAGACAGTCAAGGTCTTTATCAACACCAACCTCCATAAAAGAAGAAAGGGAACAATAAGAAACGTAAGTCTAGGAAAAAAACAGACAACATCATGACTAAAAGAAGACGGAAAAGAAGAAGACATTTAACAGTCCGCAACACACTAACCGGAAAACAAAAGATTGAGCAAAATTTATTCCACCAAGACCAGGGTGAATTCAGGTACTCCGGAAAGTCAACAGTAACTAGTTCCTGCTAAATGACAAAAAAAAAAACATTAATTATAACGTGACAACAACTGACGAAGTTCTTGATCTCGAGGAATATATGGCGAATATCAATCAGTTTTCAAACACTCAATCGTCTCCATTTTAATCTTGATTATATGAAGAAATTAAAACTTAGAAGTACCTACAACATATTTCAGTTCAGAAAAAGCCCCTAACTCTATATAATTACGTTACATGTAGGTTTCATTAAAATCCGTAGTTTTGATTGGCTGACAACAATCGCAAGGCACTTCAAGATCATATTTCATTTCCGTTTAAAATACAATAGCTCTAACTGCACGTGCTATCCGTGACGATGTTAAAATAATGCATTGAAAAACAAACGGAGTGCTTGATAAAGCTCTTAATTTCATGGTTGTAGCATTAAATGTAATTATAAGTATTGAATTCTTCTTTTTATAATTGTATACGGTTGTAAAAGCGTTGATCGTTCGTAAATGACTAATAAGTTATTGATATCATATCATGACTTTATGGAGTTAAATTATTTAGGTTTAGATTTATAGATATACGAAAGTTTCACATATATTTATATCAAATCACTGCATAATGATTTGGACGGCTCTTGATTAGCTTGTAGATCTAAGTTATGATAAAGAAAAGCCAATGAACGTACATTTGTAATCATCATTAATAGTTTAAGAAACAAGATGTTACGGATACCACAACAAAAGCAGGAGGTGCTCACCGTATCTGGGTTCGTCCCAATTTTTTTTGTGAGGTTACTGTTGCTGATTGTATAGTTTTCAATGTAATATATATGAACTTTTTTTTCGTCATTCATTTTTATTTTACTTGCTATCATGCGGTATTCGGTATCTTCTTAATTTTTAACAGGATATAATTGAATTATGTAATATTGTCTAACAGATAATTGACTATGTAGGATTGTCTAACGTATAATTGTAAATTTATCTATAAAAGGATCCCCCAGTGGGACTACGCGAAGAAATAGCTAAAATTAGAATACATTCTAAAACCAGGCCTCAAATGTCAAAACTTTGTGATCTAAACAGTATTTTGATGTTGCTTTGGTTCGATTCTCTGTTGGAATCCTTAAGTATTCGATTTAAAACTTTGATCTCAAAATCAGTTTTGTGTCCACTGTATGTACTTAGATATTAAAGTATATCGGATAGATCCAAACAGATATAGATTTCAGTTTCGTTATCTATTTGTAATAAATCCGTAATCAAACACGGAAAGTCACATCGATTCATGACCTATCTAATTAAGGTAATAAATCAATGAAGGGATGGGACGTTACTTGCCCCAGAGTCACATTAATCTTAGGAGAGATGTCTTACGGAATAAAATAAAATTCTTACCCGACTTATAAAGAATTTAACAGATCATGTTATTTATGTGTTGGTTAAGAACGGAACGACAACGGGGAAAGGTAGGATTTAAGTGACGAGAAAACATTGGGGAATCTTAAAATTTTATAATGATCAACCTAGACAAGTCATATTAATTAAAATCAAGTTTACGCAGGTTTCCAATATAAAAAAGCAACGTTTCGAAAAATAAGTAAGTGTGATTTAATGTCGATTTTGATGTGGTTATATCTTACAAAAAATTAAATATTTTTCAGCTGTAAAACAGATGAATACGTGTACTTATGGAAATGGGAATCAGTGTTCAATATGGAAACTTATGGTATATATATATATATATATTCCGAGAAACAGCAACACATGCAATGCCATTAGTGTAATACCGACTTCAATATAGACCAAAATATATAATTACTCATAAATATAAAAGAAACCAGATAAACATGTTTTCTTTGTACGAAATGTTAAACTAACCATTTTTTTAAATTACGTTTCAGCACCATACTTTAAAGAATTTTAAACGGTTTCACAAAAAAGGATCGAAACTATTAAAATTTACAAAAAATTGAAATTGAAAACAACAAAGATGAAAGGAATGCGAGAAGTAGAGGGAGTGGAAGTAAAAAAGTTGGAGAATTTTCCATTTTCTGCCATGAAAGTACTTGGTGGAATTCAGATAGGACTCGGCGTAGCTTGTATGTTTCTTGGTATCGTGGATCTTATAATGTTTGTTATTATTGGAGAATCTGAACTACTTACAGTCCAAGTAGCCCTGGAGGCTAACAAAACTGCCAAGCAATTAACTATATCGTCTACTGGATTATGGTGTGGTCTGTGGGTATGTCTATTTAACATTGTTAGTGGAATAAATAAAAAAAAAATTTAATTCGTAACAAAATAAATTGTGTGTGAAAATAACGCATTCAAGAAAAGATCAAATCAAATAATAAGAAAAAAACCCAAAATTTATGATTTGATATATGCTATTTTTCATATGAACATTTCAGACATCAACTATGTTTAATACAACGATACTTATATGTATTTATTCTTCTGTCAATGCAAATTTTACTGGTTTTCATATTACAAAAAAATTTAATTTCACTTGAATTTGTATATTTATTTTTAGTTCATTCTATGCGGTGTTATGGCTATAAATATCACAAAGAAAAAGAAAACAAACATTTTCTGTTACGTGAGTTTTTGTTCTTTTATATTTTTAACTTCGTGTGACTTGGGTAAGAAACAAACCAACAAACATTAAGAAATTTGCTGATGGCAAATGCTTTGTATTAAATGTAAAAACATGCAGTACTGTTGTCGAGTTTATATCCAACGCACGTATTAAGACAACCATTCGCTTCATAACACCATTAAGAAGAAATGCTGCGGGAGAGTCCGTAGATGGAATTAATGTAAGGCTTAATTCTTGACCTTGCAATATTTCCTTATCTTCCATTGGAAGTCAAAACATATATATCATGATAAATTTAGATATCTTGCCAAGGAATCCAATAAATGATAGCGAACAAATTATTCAATTAGATCCTAAAATATTTACTCAAAGCTCGAACGGATGTAAATGCGTTTTCATTTCGATGCACAACTTACATTTCCGACAGAATCACCAGTTTACATCCTGTTGAGAAAATTTTATAACAAAAATACCATTTTTCATTAGGCTTCAGTGTAACTTTATATAATGGCTATCTTGGCAAGAAATGCATTCAATAAAATTAATGTTTTGTGAGATTTGGAAAGATTCTTTGAAAAGCTTTTTCATTTTTCATTATCTTGTATAAGTTGATAATAGTTTGTTTCGATTACTTATTCGATGTTAGTTCTTTATTACCGGTTATATGATCAACAATTTTTCTGATGATGAAACTTTCAAATGTTCAGGTTGTCGACTAAGAATTTCTCTTACGATCGATTAACGAAAACTGAATATTTACTTAGTCCGACTCCTTAGCTGGAGGTCAGACAATAACGTGTGTATGGACAATCTTTAACATCAAGAAACGACAACTAAAACGTAACGTTCATCGAAAATATTTACTATGACGATATACAAGTTAAATAAAGAACTTATATGAATTCGTCATTTGTGGGTCCAAATAAAGTCAATACAGACAAGATTATATGTTCCGAGAGAATTTTGACATATTATTCCAACCAAGCTTCTCTTAGGTTGAGGTTACGATCCCAGGCAAGGGTTGTCCGTGGTTGCGATATCATCAGATGAAACTTACATATCTTGTGTTAGGAGAGTGTCAGGCTTTTGGCATGATATATATCCCCCGAGCATGATGCGTTAAGACGAGGCTAATTTTGGTCTGTTACTGGAACTACATTTCCGAACCGTACCAACACGACATATATTTCGTTTGGAAGTCAAAGTTCGTTCCCTTTTTGAGCACCATCCAATCCTTTTCGTATTTGTTTTTGTAAACACTGAAATCATTTCAAGTTTATCGCTTCAATCAAGTTTTTGTGCTGCTGATCGAATTTATCTAAATATTTAAAATATATAAATGCCTGTCCCCCCTAATACCATAAAGTATATGAGACAGTGTCGATTAAACAATACCCATATGTGTAAACACATATTAAAGCTTGGTTAGTGTTTGTCAGAGCGTAACTAGTGTTTGCTAAGAGTTTTCGTATTCAAATTTCTGTATTTTATTTTCAGAAAATCTGTTTCATGGTTCTGAGCATTGTCTGTGGAGCTCTCTTTGGTCCAGTTTGTATGTTTGTAAATGCATATTCAGCCATAATAGTGAGTAATTTTCTATATCCATGGAGATGAATATTTCTTAAAGATAAAACCTTTTAAAACTTCTATTTCTCCATAAAAAATGAGAGTGATAATGTTAAATCCCCTTTTTTCAATTAAAGTTAATTAACATATGTGCAATGAAGCAACGTGATTTATATATTTCGCATTTGCTTCGAATATGAAATTAGGGCACCAGTTTAAGAAAGTTGTACATAACAGTACCATAAGGCTCCGTCGTATTTTAAAATATAAAGCAAAAATGTGCTTAACATATTGGTATACTGAGAATTCAATGCTATTAATTAATATTTATAAAGTCTTCAATTACCATGAATGAAATGAGTTATATTATTTACCTTCAGAGGGAAAAGTTGTTTAAAACAAACCTTAATTGGATGGTACCCTTATTAGTAGCATTCTTTGCCTTTGTCGAGATTGCCATAGCAATATTATCTTCAGCCGTCAGTTGTTGTTGTTCAGCTGTTTCTGAAGCAAAGGTGAGTAGTACTAATATCACTGAATAATTTTCATAATCTGGCTTTAAAGACTCATGAAGTATTTGTCTGTATCTAAAAAATTATTGTTTTCGGAAATAGACAAAAAGTCATCGCTCTTCAATAATCTCTCTCAACATTCCTTCAACGAAATGTGGAATTTGTATATACATTTTCATTCAAACGCTATGTGCGCTTGAGTAATTTATTGCGATGCATTTTTTTCGTTGCTAGTCAATTAATATCCTGCAAATAGCTACAGTAACTTACATTTATAATCATATTACAATCTTTTTACAGTTTTACACAAAAATATTCATCCAATCTCACTTCTTTCCAAATATGTGCATACTACTTGATCATGCGCATGCCATTTAATCATATATCGTAACATTTTGAGGCTGTTCAAGAAAAAAAATATGTATATCCCTATTCCCAAAGACTCTTAAATAATACTCACTGACTTACTTATTGCTACTGTTCCAAAATTGTACAAGTAAAAGGAACAAAATCACATAAAACTCTAAACCGGAAATCATGATCATTTGCGGTTGATCCATTTAATAGATTTTCATACGAAACACTGTGAAATTTAGAAGGGGTATGGATATATTTATTCATACATCTTAGAGACAAGTCTCTGCGTCTGTCATTTTTTTTCTATACTAATTACAATTTTTTTTTAAATTCTTGGAATATAGTTTCTCTATTGTTTGAGGTGGTACTGTCGAACATTTCTGGTAACTCTAGCTTGCTATAAATCTTGACATAGTTTGAAATATTTTGCCTGACCAATCGTGTTATAAATTAACTCCGTGCTTTTAATGTTCTAACCTATGAATATATTGTAGGTTCGGGTATTTATCCCTGGAGGATTTCCTTCGCCACCTTCACGTCAAAAAAGTAACACGTCAATGGATTATTTCACCACTTCGAAGACAAAGAATCCAGTCAATGTTACCACAACAAAAAGATTTGAATGGCCGGATACTGGAATGTTTAAAAATAACAATAAACAACCATTGGGAAAGATTTAGATGGTACATTAACGAGATGTATGAAATATGTTAAAGAAATTTGTTAATAATTGTACATCATTTATGGCAAGTTTGTACAATCTATTGTGAATGTTTTATTTCGTTTCGTTTTTGTATTTGTGTCGTTTTGTATCGGAGAGAAATGTTTGTAATTGACATGTTAGCAGCTAAACTTGCGTATAATATCTTGCCATTGAATATAACATAGCATTGTTCTACGCAATAACATCTTGAATTATTCTAATAGCTTGATTACGTATCAATTTTATGATATTATTTGAACTTGTGATAATTTTATTCCTGCTTTTAATTTTTATTAAAAAGAATATGTGTCCTTCGTTTGAATCAATTTTGTTTTGTTTAGTTTAACTTCAATAATTGACTATCAGTACTTATGGATTCATTGTTATATCTGACACAGGACCGGTTCAGCTCGAAGTTATTGTTCTTGGTCATACTCTTATGCTGCAATTAGTACAAACCATAGTTAATACAGACAATCAAAATGGATGAACCATATTTTTACACTATGAAAAACTTCATAAAAAATACAGAGATGATTCATGATTGTCTATGAGACAACTATTTATTAAAGATCAAAAGACAAAGTTTTAAGACTTAAACAATCAATGACAGCTCACCGCACGGCCTTTAATGATGAGCAAACCACATATAATAAGCCATAATAGGCGCAGGGGTCCACAATGGGAAAATTCAAACGATTTATTCGAAAATTATAAACGTAAAGCAATTATTAAAACTTGTTTTTACTAATAAACAATGTATTGATTCTTCTTGTTCTCCTCTGGACATACAACGTATGAGTGTTCTAATCTGGACATACAACGTATGAGTGTTCTCCTCTGGACATACAACGTGTGAGTGGTCTCCTCTAGACATACAACGTATGAGTGTTCTCCTCTGGACATACAACGTAAGAGTGTTCTAATCTGGACATACAACGTATGAGTGTTCTCCTCTGGACATACAACGTGTGAGTGGTCTAATCTGGACATACAACGTATGAGTGTTCTCCTCTGGACATACAACGTATGAGTGTTCTCCCCTGGACATACAACGTATGAGTGTTTTCCTCTGGACATACAACGTATGAGTGTTCTCCTCTGGGCAAATTACATAATAGGAATTATATGTGTTTTCCTCTGGACATACAACGCATGAGACCCCTAGAATTCTATACCAAAATAAGGAGATGAGGTATGATTGCCAATGAGACAACTATCCACCAAAGTTCAAATAAAGTGGATGTAAGCAATTATAGGCAACCGTACGGCCTTCAACAATGAGAAAAACCCATACCGTATAGTCGGCTATAAAAGGCCCCGACATGAAAAAAATGTCATTGAAACAATCAATTGAGAAAACTAACGACCATATTTGAACTAAATACATAAAATAGATAACAGGAAGTCAAGTACTGAAAATATTGTAAGTACAACAGACAGCACCAATAACCAACATCTGCTTCATCCGAAAAAATAAAAGTGCAAACTAAGCTAACAACGACCAATATATGGTCCAGATAGCTTGACTTGGTAAGGTCATGTACAAGCACAACATATGTATGGTGGCTTTAAACCATTTTACTTGCGCACAATTACACCCCTTCCCCATTAGGACCATATGCAGTGTATCGTGAAAGTAAAATTCACAATAAAAAATATGTCCAATCAATCTCCCAACAGAATGATCACTAACATGTACAACGGTGACCTATAGTTGTTTTATCTTCTACGTCATTTGGTCTCTGGTGGAGAATTGTCGCATTGACAATCATACCACATCTTCTTATTTTTAAAAGGATACTATTTGTAAAGCACCTGTTGATTATTATAAAGATAAGGAGATGAGGTATGATTTCCAATTAGACAACTATCCACCAAAGTTCAAATAAAGTGGATGTAAGCAATTATAGGCAACCGTACGGCCTTCAACAATGAGCAAAATCCATACCGTATAGTCGGCTATAAAAGGCCCCGACATGAAAAATGTGAATCAATTCAATTGAGAAAACTAACGGCCTAATTTATAACAAAACAATTAACGAAAAACAAATTTGACAGACATGAACCAACGACAACCACTGAACTACAGGCTCCTGACTTGGGACAGGCACATAAAGAATGTGGCGGGGTAAAACATGTTTGTGAACGCTCAACCCTCCCCTAACCTGGGACAGTGGTGTAACAGCACAACATAAGAACAAACTATAAACATCAGTTGAAAAAGGCTTAACTCATCAGACCGATACAAAGCAGAAAAACATCAAACATAAACACAGACCGGACGTGGCAGAGTATCCATCCCTCATCCCTAACAACAAAAAGGACACTAAGTACAGATCTGAGAGTACTCGCAGTTACTGACAGTTAGTTCAAAGCCAATTACAGCTAACAAATGTTTGGTCATAGATATAAGTAAACACTTATTTGTGCTTGTTTGATACTTTAGTTATGCAAATGTGATTTGTTTTGAACAAATATAAAATTTAGCAAACATTTATGTTAGCTGAATTTTTGGCGCTATGAATCCTTATTAAACCAATGTTTTACCAAATAAGTGGAAGTCAGACCTTTTGTTCTCTCATGTTCATAAAAAAAATTAAGATGGAGTTATTTGTATTCATAAACACATAATTTGTAATAAACGCATTATAACTTTTATTACATTTACATAAAAGTCGAATTCTTTAATTGTTTTAAACGAGATTTGTTTCCCCGAACAACACCTTTTTTCTTTAAGAGGATATGGTTTATCACTTCATGACAAAAAATCACTACACACACATAAAAAAACAAAGAACAACGTTTTTACTGATGTTTTTCATTTCAAAGTCACAGAAAGGTCTTAATCGTGGAGGAAAAACTCTCATATTACAAGTTTGAGACGGCCTCTATCATCGGCTCGAACGTTATTTCTTTGCTAGATGTCCTCTCTCACGCTACATGTGTGCGTTGAAGAACACAGCTGTGGAGTAATATAAAAAGTTATAAATTATATCTGGTAAAGAAATCTTTAAAGTACTGTAATTGATAGCCCGCAAATCTCACTGTAAAATATAGAAGCAATACAAACCCTTATACAACCACAGGACGCATCAAGAAATATGTTAGATGACTTTGAAAATCAAAGCACTGTAACCAAAAACCAAGGCAAACGTAATTATGAAAACTGTGGCAGTGTTGATTCATTTTTTTTTAAGATTTGAAAGAACAAACATTAAACATTTGTATATTGTACATTTATGTTCATTAAATGAATTGATTATTAAGGCAAATTAATTAATATTTCATCAAGGTTTTCAAAAGCAACTCATATATCAATATAAATGACCCCCATCTTCACCCCCAAGTGCATGATATTACTCCATACCAAGTTTGGAATAAAATGACAGGTGATTATAAAACAATTGGTCAAACATTCTCGGGCTTTACACTGCTTGAAAGATTTATATGTTTTCTTTAAATTGAGCCATAAATGAAAATTATTATAGGCCCAGAAATAATTTAATAAATAATTAAAGTAATTTCAATTAACCTAGACTAATTTTTTGCATCAATAAAATTTTATAATAATGTTCTCAAACAGGAGGTGGTGGGACGACACCGGGGACTCCCCCAAATTATTTTCATTTGATTTCTTTTATTGTCTCATACAAGTATATATATTGTTTAGGGGTGGGGATCGCGACGGTTTACAAGATACAAGTACATTTTCAAATTGAAGGGGGTTGAGATGACACCCAGGGACACACCCTATATTTTGGTTGATTTTTTTCATTGTCCTGTTCTCATTACTGAAGACTGCATGTGTCTATCACTTACTGTTTTCGAGAAAAAGTCATTTGAAAATTAAAAAAAATAAAATCCCATAGGGTTCTATAGTAAACCCCTCCCTTCTTCAGGCCCCTCCAAATACCCCTAAATAGACCCCAATGCACAAACAAAAGATTGAAGGCTCCGCTAGACATGCTAGTCTAATATTTTATGAAATCCTAAGTAAATCTGACAAACAGTCAAAGTTGTCTTCTTAGACGGTTTGAGTGGATTGGCTAATATGTGGGTGTTAATTTACTCTATTACCCTTCATGGAGACGCTTGATCAAGTGTGCGCTTTATTAAATACGACTCTATCCTATGGCAAATACTCTATTACCCTTCACGTAGACGCTTGATCAAGTGTGCGCTTTATTAAATACGGATGGTTGTTGTACAAGACGTCATAGTTTATTACTTTGAATTTGAAATTTAATCGACAGTAATAACAGAACATTCAGTATAATAAATTAAATAACACATATCTGAGAGGGTGATAGAGCAGATTGTTACCCCTCGAAAAGTCATTGTCAACCTTGGCTTCGCCTCAGTTGACAATGTTTTCTCGGGGTAACAAACTGCTCTATCACCCTCTCAGCTATGTGTTATTTAGATAATGTTACCTTGTAGATAAATCTTATCTGGAGGAGTTGCAATCTTAAAGCGAGCAACACAATTATGTGATATTATATGTAAAACATCTCGGTGCAATAATATTTGACATGATACTGCTATTTTCAATAACTAACTGGGGAGGACCATAGAATAAAGATGTATTAACTTTAGAGTTATAAAAGTTAGCAAAGAACTAAATTTCCAGAGAGTTACAAAAAAAATGTAAATTGTGTGAAATTAGGGTTGTTTTACTAGTTAATGCTGTATTGCAAACATGGTCTTTTGGAGTTTCCATAATTGTTTAAAATTAAATCACACTTTGTACCTCGATATTTAACCACATAAGTGAAACTGTCCTAGATACGAAACGAGCCGTTATATGTATACAAGCTTACGATATGGATAGAAGAATTGAAGAATGTATTGGGCATATTGGCCTAAATAAGATGAATACCTAAATATTGGCAATTGGACTATGGTACAAACCGAGCGGTAATCATATAAATAAATGTAAATATATAAGACGACGGCAGTTAAAACTACTTGTTGATGAAATAAGCTTCGTGTCTTTCGCTCTCCAAAAGCCACGAAGAAAGGCTTACCAGAAAATTGCATTTTGTTTATTACGTCTGTATAACGTAGAGTTTTCTGGTTGACATTATTTGTATGTAGGCTTTATTTTATAAGTGAATGTGAAAAGATTTTATTATTGAATTGCTGTTTTAAGAGAGAAGTATCCAGTCTTGTCTATATATTTGATCATTCAATTAGTTGGGATCCACTGTACCTGGAATGATAAAGTATCAACTTATTTAATAAAACTCATTAGACATGCATCAGAAACTATTGAATCTTATAAAACTACTGCATTACATGATGCTGTATTTAAACTCAGCTAACAGCCTTATAGGTTTCCTTTCTTTCGATCTTTAAGAATTTTTCTTTGACAAGATAGATATAATCTGCTGTGATATTTTTGGAAATACTAACGACGACAATTCAAAGTAGTTAGTGAAAAATGTGCATGGAAAATTCAAGTGAAAGTTTACAATGGTGTTTTAAAATCTAAAAAACAGAACCACATAAATATCCAAATATCATGTAAGCCATTTACGATCCACTACATTCATTTAAAATGAATCGTTCAATAACATTAACAGTAACAATTTACTGCATTAGCTGCGCATTTTGACAACTTCAGCGATGCTCGATACCAAAATAATTGAAATTCCAAAAGCTAATACAAACATTAAAGAGATAATAAAACCAAATAGGACCAAAAATAAAGCCAAACCCGGACAAAG